TTTAAAAATCTTTTAAAATTAAAGAAATAAGAAATAATTGTATTAAAAATTCAATTTTCATTGAAAAATTTTTGCTTTCAGAAAATATTGTCCATATACATAAAAACAAATTAAAACAAATAAAAGCATTTGAAACTAAATAATATATTTGTTTTATTGAGTTTTGTATGTTACAATTCACAGCTGATTTTCAGGTATGTTGGCCAAAAAAAAAAAAACAAAAAAAAATGATTTGCATTCTTCAAAGCCTTGTGCTTTTAACTATTGTAATCACTAAAACCGATGGTCTCAATTTCTAGAGTTTTTCATAAAATTAGTTATGGGGGTGTTAATAAATATAAAAAAAATATTTCTGCCATGACTTTAATAAAAAAAAACATTTATAATAATTTCGATCATCTGTGAATAGTTTCTGAAAGTTTCATTAACATCTGACAATTATTTTTATTTTTGCAAGATTTTCCAAATTAATGTGTGTAAATACAAAAAAATGCGCTAAAAATTATCTATGTTATTTACTACCCTTGTTGCGACAAAAGAGAAACAAGGATTTTTTAAATCAAAATTTAGAATATTCTAAAAGATGGAAAAATTTTTAAAAATAATTAAAAAATTTAGTCTATCCTCTTCATAAAAACATAAGCATTTTGACGATAAAATTTAGTTTTCATAAACTTTACGCGTCTTTTTCATCAGACTATGCTCTATGTTTTAGCGATTCCGTGGAGTGACTTAGGTTAAAAAACCCAGGTTGTTTATGTGTGTGTGTGTGTGTTCCTTTATATATGGGATCGGATTTCTTACATTTTTCAGCCGATAAAACAGACATCCACTTTTTTTTCGGCAGGTAGTATTTGTTATTGTCTTGCACACTTTTTTCTTTATTTACATTCAGAATGCTTTAAAATTCCATTTACAAGACAATTGTTTATAATAAAATTCTATTCACCCATCGATAGACTCATAACGATTGTAAACAATGTTTTTGTTTGAATTTGGGTTTGACCAATTCGTAAAAAAAAAAAAAACCTAATTAAGACATGCGTGTCCGTCAACCTTAAACAATGATCTTTGTCAATTTTATTTTTCAGTCTTTATGATGGTCAATACTTGATCTATCTCTTACTGTTACATCCCCGGGCAACGCCGGGCTCTACTGCTAGTATTAAATAAGAATGGTTGAAGAGTAATATTGAAAGTGAAGCTGTTAAATGAAGGGAATAGTTTAATTTACCTACTGATTAAAAGCATGCAATGAAATACATCCTTTTTAGAAATCTCCAAGGAGAAAAAATAATTTGGCCTAAATCTATAATTGCTTTTTTTTTCTTTTTTTTTTTTTTTTCTTTTTTCTTTTTTTTAACTTAGTTATAATCATTCCTCTACCTTCTTCATTAAAACAAATCTCTGCATTCACACATATTTTGATTTACATGTTGGAGATTAGTGTTTAATAACTAAATACTAATTAGGACTTATTTGAACTGATTAAATTTGGACAATATTGCCAATATTAGGTCTTGAAAATTTGATGTATATTAAATTAATTTATATGAGATGTGGAGAAAGTGCTTGGAGCAACCCATTTCATAAAATTCTTTCATTGAACACACAGAATACTGATTTGGGGAAGTGGGTCAAGTCAAGAACTTTTCAGCACCCACTTGTATAATTAAAAAGAATTTGATCAAATATGGAATTTTCTCAGCCTGTTTATATATATCTTTAATAACAATAACAAAGATTGTATTTTGCCAGAGAACAGCCACCCCCCCCCAAGGATAATTCTGGAAGTTCATGTTTTCAAGACAGTCTTCATAATTATCAAACAATAGAGTGGTGGTGTTGTTTGTTTGTTTAATTGTCTTTACTGAGTTTTGCATTTTTCAGAAGACTTGATTGTAAACTTTATAATCAAGTTTCTTGAATGGATATAATTCCATGAAACTCATGATAGCAATAAGTGAACATTTAATTTTACTTATACATATCTTTATAAAAGTATTTGATTATGCTGTGCATTACCAAGGAAATATTTTTATATGTCAAGTTAATTTATCATTTCCTATTTTTAAAGTTCAATTTTCATTAAATCCTTTTTTCATAACAGAAAAGAGAATTCATATATTGTCTCATTCTTGACTTAAAAGAAGTTATAAGATTGTCCTGAGAGGATTAAATGCTCTGAAAAAACTTGTTAAAAACAAACAAAAAAAGATACAAAATGCATTTACTAATCAGTAGATAAATGTTACTATTTTGTCTGCAGCATGAAAATGTGATTTCATATTTGTCTTGAAAAATCTTTTACTAAATCAGTTATATTTAGCAAAGAAAATTTTATTTTAATAATTTGGAAATGAATTCTGTTCTTTGACCAAGTGTGTGTGTGTTGTATACAAATTGTAAATGCATGATGTTTTCTGTCTAAGCAGTGCTTGTAGTGGGGAATAAATAATAATAATAATGGCTTGGCCTCATTTGATTATCGCCATCTTCTCTTTATTCATAACCTTTTATAAAGCTGTAGGCTATTTAACTTTCTTAGTTGAGATCGAAACAACATTGTAACATTTCTTCTCTTAGAATTCTTTTTCTTAATATATGTTCATAAAATGTGTGGTTTACTTCCTTTCTGATTCTTCAGTTTTACATTTACTTTCTGTTTTTTAACATTTTCTGTTTTCTTGAAGTTTTTATCAGTGCTTTTGAAGTTTATTTCAACTGTCTCTATTGTGATGTAAGTTTGCTTCCTTTTCTTTTGTTCACTGTACCAATTTGCCCTTCTATTTTGTCCTTTTCTCCAATCATGTGCACTTGCTTTGTACCGAGTCACCTTTCTAAGCTGCCTCTAACTGCCTCATCATTTAGCCTAATTGTGTATGCCATCAGACCCCACACATTCACATGAACAATATGCAGTGATATCAAAAGAGAAGATTGTCTTTGTTTCTTTCTTTCATTATTGTTAGATTTTTTTTACTCCTAATTGATTCATTCATGTAATTATTTTTTAGTGTTAATCAGATCTTTAAGAATACTGGTGTCATTTTCAGATTATTATATTGCAATCAATTACAAACCAAAGGGTAGAAATATCTTATCAAGGCCTTATATTAAAATATAACTGAAACAATAAGAAGAAATGATGTGAAGATATGTAGCTTTCAATTAATTGTCTCCACATTTGTCATCTGTTTATTGATTAGTAAAGATTTTTTTTACCTCATGTACTTTTGTAACCTACAACTTAAAAATAAAATGATTTATGCTTGGAACTTTCTTTTATTTTAGTCAAACATTCAAATATTTGAAAATAAGTATGCCATTGATTTTTGTCTTACAAGTAAGGCTAACCTGTATTAAGAAACTAAATATTTTTTTTTTGTTCTCTCTATTCTTTTATTAAAGACTACAATTGCAATTGATATCATTAATAGTTATATGATTTGTGAATTTCACTCTTGCTTCCTTTAAATGACTTCTTTAAAAGTGCACTCTTGACTCTTTGCAATCTTCACCTCTCTTTAATTAAGTGTTGCCAAGTATACAGGAGCATTTTTTATATGCTAGTTTTAAACAAATACTGGTTCCTGTGGTTTGAATTGTAAACATTAAGGTAGTTACCTTTACTAATTTGGTGAAAAAGGAGTATATAATGAAAAAATGCCCCAAACTTGATAAAAACAAAGTTTTATCATCAAAATCTTTATTATTCAGAGGAAAGACCAAAGTATTTCTTGGTTATTTTATTAAATTTTTTAATCCTTTCTAGCACATTCAAAAATTTTGGTTAAAAAATCTAGTTTGTCTTACAAAGGTTTGCGGTTAGGTTATGGCAAAGATTAGTATAAGAAATTTTAGCATTTTTTTTTTTTTTTTTTTTTTTCCCGTAAAAACACATGCATTTGGTAACTCTTGTAAAAAATCAAATAATTATCTGATTTTAATTAATCTTTCAGAACTTATTCACAAATGAATTACATTATTTAAATTTTTTACATCTGTGGTCTGCATTTAATTTTATGAAATTTAGAGAAATTCAATTTCATCCCCTAAATATTTTTATTAGTCAAAACTAGGACTCCTTGGAGAATTTAAATCATCAAAGTCTTAAAATTCTGTATTAATTTCACCCTTTACTATACTATATTTACTAATCAGAAATGAAAATGTATATATCAGTTTAGTACAATTCATCAAAAACCCATTTTATGTATAAACGTGCCAATTTTTGTTGAGTAATAACTTATATAGATTTAAAAGCCAAAATATCTAAAATTCAATAAAACATTAGATTACAGTGAATATTTTCCTAAACTTTTAAGATTACTGAGTACTTAATAATTATATATAAAAGGTGTTAATGTTATATTCTTCAAATATTTTTTTTACCGATAAAGCCCCCATAGAACAACATTAGATAAACTTCAATCAATCATCAGCTTAAGAATTACATTGTGATAAATGTGGGCTAAAATGGCACTGAAATCAGATTTTTTTTTTTTTTTTTTTTTTTTTTTACTTTTACTTTTACTTAAAAATAATCAAAAAAAAATCTGTTCAGTCAATTTAAATTAGTTTAGAGATTTTGCTTATTGAAAATATTGAATTTATTAGATTGAAATTAAAGCTAAAATAAAAGATGCAAGAAATATTTTTCATTTTTTAAAATTCATTTTAAATCTTAAGTATTGCATATCTGTGGAGGTACCTACATTAAGGTCAGGCAAATTGGAAAATAGCTTATATTTTCATATCAATGAAATATTAACTTTAAAATTGCCTAAATAATTGGCAGTTTATATTTTGTCATTGAGAACACTTTATTTGAATAATTTCCACTATTCAAATGTAAGAATTTATCCATTTCAAACATGAAAAAGTATAAGATGCTTTACTAATTACAAATGTTTTACCAAAAATGTGCATTTTATTTCAATTATTTACTATAATTTTTATACATTATATTGATTAGTCTTTATATTTATTTTCTACAGATTGTTTTAGGTATGCTTAATAACTGGATTACATAAAAAAATCTGCACAAGAGTTTTCAGTTTTAAGGTAAGTCAGAAAAGGAAAAAAATTTTATTAAGTTATTTGAAAAAGTGTTTTTAAATTTTGTGCTTTGAATTTTTTCTCATGGATGGTTATGTTTAACAGATGTGTCTTTGTGTAAACATCGATATGAAACTGATAAAAATTCAATAATGTTATCACTTGGGAATTGTAGACAAATTCAAGGCTAAAACTGAATTTACTGTATTTCTCTAACCACCCAAATTTTATTTTATTTTTTTTTTTATGTAAATCCTCAGCTGACATGTCACAGATTGGCAGTATAATTTTAAAATTCTTAATTCCATAAGATCTAAAAGAATAAGCTAGAAAAATGGTTAAACATTAAAAAAAAAAAAAAAAAATACTGAAATCTTGTTGCACCAACTGATGTCTCGTATTTGAAATAATTGCTCAAAGGAGCAATTATTTCAAATAATAAAATTTTTATTTAGAAAAAAATCATAGTAATTATATATTTATATTGCAAATAGTTTTAGTAAATCTATATGCTTGGAATGTTATATTGTAATTGATATTTTAATTGCAAGACTTTAAAAAAAAACAAAAAAGAATTTGTTAGAGGATAAGTTGCTATCATAAAAATTAGAATATACTGGAATGAATCAACTCTTTGTTTTATTTATTTTATTTATTACAGATTTGTTAAAAAAAATGTTTACTTTAGTATAACTGTAATTTCTTAGCACTTAGAATGATTACTATGTTGAACAGTTGCCTATTTACATTTTCTTTTTTCTTTTTCTTTTTTTTTTTTTTTTTTGTACAATTCTGTTTCCTTAACTTTTTAAAGTCCCTTCCTGAGAGAAACGGCAGTAAATATACTTTCAAAATGACCAGAGGCTAATATTTTAACTTGCACCTGTTTTAACTCTTTTATTTATTTTTTCTCACTGCTAATTTTTACTTAATCCCCTACCTTCTCAGATAACCCCAGTAAGACACTATCTTGGAGAAAATCTGCTGATAAGCCACATCCTGTTTGTTTGTTTCTTTTTATTATCATCATCATCATGCTATTGCTGCAGCTCTCAAAAAAAAAAAAAAAGGTTTATTGACACTGATTAATTAGTTGTCCCTTGGGGCTCGTCTGCATCGTGTGCACACAACTGCCTCAGTCAGATTCTCATTTCATTAGGAAAAGTGGGAATTGTAGAACATCTGGGCTAAACATGTTATAGGTTGCATTTTTATTTCTATAGAAAAAGAATGCTCCATTTCAATCTAAATTTACAAGTCAGTCATTGCTACCAAAAGTATATTGAAATTTTTAGTAATTGTTGAAATTAGGGATTAATTCTTTTGAAATATGTTAAATATACTAAAGTTGAAATTTTTCTTTAGCTTTCTCCATTACCAATTTTTTCACAAAAATAACAAATTTTTTATATATCTTGTAGAAAATCATCACTTCTTAATTTGTAGATATAAGATTTTTTTTTCTAAATATATGTTGATACACAAATCATACACAGGATGCAAATTGAAGTCATTATCAAAACAAGCAACATTACCATGCTACAAAATATAACAAACTTCTATAATTACTGTATTAAACATTTTAGGCATATAAAAACTTTAAAATTCTGTTTTTTTTTTCCTACTCTTCTCATATTGAAGCTGCATGAACAAAGCAATATATTAATTTTAATATTAATAATAAATATTACTTTTGCTTAATGTTATAGGAATAGTGTATATGAGAGATATTCAATTAATTGTAAATTTATCTACAAAAATTATAGGATTTGTAATTTTTCAGTTCATAATTAACCTTTATTATTTATATAGTAGTGGGTATCTGTTATGTATTTTAGTCTCATAATTGTCAACCCACTCATAAGAAAATGAGAATAAAATTAAAGTCTAAGCTCCAATGACACACTAAAAACGAATAAGATAACCAGTGACAAAATATAGTCACAAGAAGGACAATATAAATTAGTCATATGATAGTCAGCATCTCCTGTCTGTCACTTATTACAATTTCTTTAAAAACTTGCTGTTAATGTTTTTCAACGTGAAATAAGAAAGATCCAAATAGTCTCAACTCCTGCAATTCATATTGAGAGATTTTGGACTGAATTAAGATGGTCAAAAAGTTGGTGCTTGTGCATAAACTAGGAAATGATACAAACATTATAGTTACATTTGGATTCCTACTCAACTTTGCAAGGAGAATACAAAGTGCAGCTATGTTTTGGTTAAAATGTTTAAAAACAATATGATATGCCTAACATTATAATCAGAAATGTTACCTTTTATTTTATTAGCAATGTTATCCAAGGAGATTAAAGATTGTATACCTTAACTACAATATTACATTTGTTTGAAGGGAGCGAAAAAAATATTGCTACTTTTTGTAATTGCTACTCTATCTGCTTTTTTGTATAAATGCTTGTAAATTTTCTCTTGTAATGCCATCAATGAACATATTTGAGATAATGTGATAAATATATACTTGACTTTTTTAGCAATTACTAATTATTGTTATTGGTTTATTTTGAACATTTTTTTATTATCTAGGTAAATTACCCTTTGAATATGTGAATGAGATCTCATATCTTACATTATTTATCACTAGGAAAGAATGTTATGATCAAAATTTATAGAGAAAGTCTGTGTTTAGTAATTGGTCCGTTGTAAAAATTTGGATTTTTTTTTATAATATACAACAAAGCTGAATTCTCAGGTCTGCAGTAGGGAACATATTCTATTCAAATTCAAGTCTAAAATATCAATTTATAGTGTAATAAATATATGCACATATTCACTTTCACTGCTGAGCAAACAAAGATAAAAATTTTCCTTTTAATTTTTTTTTTTAAACCATTTTTCTCACGGTGGTGTAATGAATAGCAGCTCAGATTGGGGAATCAGAGATTTGAGTTGGAATTCCAGTTGAATCCCTTACAGTCACTTACGTGCTAATACCCTTGCGAAAGGTATGAATCTTCTTCTCTCTCCCCCCCCCAAAGCTATGGGTAAATAGTAGGAAAAATTGGGTTCTATAGCCTTGGATGGCAACTGGTCTACTGCAGAAAGAAATGGCAACCTACTGCAAGAAAAAATTTGCCTTGTCAGTTACGTATTGAAAGATACATGATCGCCTAAGTGTGTATCACGCATGGCACATAACTGACTGACTGCATAGTAGGCATCAAATAAAGGTCAAGAATTCCATAAACAATATCTTATTACTAATATACTTTTAAGTATTAAAAGGAAAAATATTAATCATTATTGTTTCATCATCATTTATTACATTAACCAAACTGAAGAGTCTAAAGTTTCCAGAAGGTAACTTTTAAGGGTACAGGTACTAACAAGCAAAAGGGCTATGGACAAAAAATATATTGTGAATTCTGGTATAACCTTCTTCTACAAGAACAAGACAAGCACAATGTATTAGAAAATATTACTTTTTAAGTCAAGCAAGAAAGACTTTTATTTTATTTTTCCTCCAAAATGTGAAAGCATGCTGGCGTGAACTGCATCATATGTAAGATGTGTAGATGACAAGCTTAGCACTAGGTGTATATATTTCTTTCCCTTTTTACAGGAACTTCATCTCAGCTCTGGCCTCTCTGACGATCTACACAAATTAAATAGGTTTCACTTATATCTCTTTTGTCAGTTTTAATTTAGCCCCAATATATTAGAGGTCACAAGGAAACAGTCTCCAAGATCCTCTCTTTAACATTCTAACCAATGCCTTGTTACAATATGAAAGAAATTAGATTTATAAAAAGAAATATAATGTTAACATAATAGTTAAAAGTAAGATACCACTATATGTCATTAATGATAATATTGATGTGCCATTTTAATTAAGCTTTTTTTCAATTTGTTTCAGATTTCTAAATTTTTCTTTTTATGATAATATTGAAACTTTTATTAAAATTCTATTTTTCATTCTCCATGAGGGTTTAATGTTTTCTCCTTCTCAGTAACATTTTTTCTTTTTTCTTATACTAATCAAAAACCAGTCTTGCAAACATTTTTAGGGGAACAAATTTTTTGTGATTATGGAATCGTGGAATTGTTAATCTTAAATAGAATCTGGGTTTTTAATGTAATTTTCAGTAATAAATCACAAATTAATTATTTGATTTTTTTTTTTTTTTTTTTTAATTCTTTCAAAATTTAATAATTGTTTCTCCAATTTTGTTAAGCATTTTAATAAATATAACAATAACATAACATAGTTATTTCCTTAAAATTTGTTTTTACACATATTTGTAGTTATTTTCCTTAAAAAACCCAAAAAATAATTAAGAGCAAAAATGTTTACATAAAAAAAATGTGGGTTGTTGATTTTCTGAGAACATGTTGGCTAGTCTATTTTTGAATATTATATAACTTTTCTAAGAAACTGTATGTAGCAAACGAGATGAAAGTCAGAAGGTTACAGCTTGGTTGTGGCCACTGAGATCTTTTGCTAAAGTGGAAATGGAAGACAGACATTAGTTGCTGTCAAAATTGGAAGAGGGGAGAGAGACAAAGATCAAACCAATAAGTTATTTCTTTTAAGGCCTCACACAATTTATAAATAAGATTTTAAAAAATTTGTTTTATGAATATGAAAGAAAAGTAAATACTATCACATGCCTACCATACAATTTAGAAATAAAAAAAATAATAATAAATTCTCCAAAAAGACCATTCTATGAAACAACTGGGTTGTCTAAGCTTACACAGCAATTCTCCTGGATTAACAATTGCATCATCTTCAGTGCTTCACTATTGTAAACAAATTTAAATTGAACAAAAAACAAAATCCTTTAATAATATTAACTATCAATGATTATTTTTTTCATATTTTATTTATATTTTGTAATCTAAACCAGTTGTATGAATAAGCAAAAAATTGCTGAGATGACTGAATAAAGTCAATATAGTGGATCAACTTCTACAGTTCAGTCTGCTCCTCTTTAAAAAACAAAAAAAAGAAAATGACCCCAGTACCTAAAATTTGTGCTAAG